GTTGTAGGTCTACCTCGTCTGGGTGTGGCAGTCCTACTTCGTTGGGGTGGTTTCCTTTGACTCCCCTCACCCTTTTGCGGAGTTGGTTGATGTGCCTTCTGCATGACCGGCCGTCATCCAGCTCCACCTCGTATGATCTTGGGCCCGTCACTCTCCTGATCCGACCCTTGATCCACTTCGGCTGGCCCTGAAAGTTGAGCGCGAACACCAAGTCTCCGCTAGCGAAGCTTCGCGTCAGTGGTGGGTTGATCGGCTTGTCTTTCGGGTTGTACTGTGGATGGAGTCTATCTAGCGGTGAGCGGAGCCTTCTCCCCATCAGAAGCTCGACTGGGCTTTTCTTCATTGTGGTGTGCGGTGTGATGTGTTGTGCCAGCAGGAACTTGTCTATTTGTTCCTGCCAGTCTCCTGGGCCCATCCTGGTGAGTGTGTCCTTCGTGAGCCGTACCATTTTTTCTGCTTGTCCATTTCCAGCTGGCCTGTACGGGGCGATGAGGGCATGCCGGATGCCTTGGCTTGCCAGGAAATCCTCTATGGTCTTGGCTGTGATTTGCGGGCCATTGTCGGAGACCAGGACGTCCAGCAGCCCGTGTGTGGCGAATAGGCGGCGGAGTGCCCTGATGGTGGCCTCTGTCATGGTGGATGGCATCGCGATGACCTCCAGCCATTTTGAGAATGCGTCCACGATGATGAGGGACTTTCCGTTCATTGGCCCAGTGAAGTCGATATGTATTCTTGACCACGGGCTGCTGGGCTGCTCCCACTCTGTCGGCTGGGCTTGAGGGGGTGCTGGTCTCGTCGATTGGCATGGGTCACACCTAGTGATCCACACCTCTCTGTCTTTGTCCAAGGCAGGCCAGCAAACGTAGCTCCGTGCCAGCGCCTTCATGCGAACTATGCCCGGATGGCCGCTATGGAGGGTTTCTAAGGTGCTCTTCTGTAGTGTGGGAGGGATCACGACCCGGTCACCCCAGAGGAGGCAGCCGTTCATGGTGGCCAGTTCGTGCTGCCTCCGTATGAATGGGGTGAATTCTTCGCCCACTCTTCCGGTCGGCCAACCCGTCAATGTCCATGAGAGTACCTGTTTGAGGGTCTTGTCCCTCAGTGTGTGGGTCGCCACCGTTGCAGATGACACCGGGCACGTCTGGTCATTGTCTATGTGGTGAAGTCCGAGGGTAGGTGCCGGGTCAATGACTGGTTCTCGCAGGGGGCATCTGCTGAGGCTGTCAGCATTGCCGGGGCGATGGATAATAATAATAATAATTTTATTTCTATACCGCCCTTCTCCCGAAGGACTCAGGGCGGTATACAGCCAATTTAAAAACACAAGACACAACAATGATTAAAAATTAAAATAATTAAATAGATTTGGCCGGTTTAAAACCCCAAAAATTTAAAATACCCCAATTTAAAATTATTATGTTGATAGCCCAGATGAGTCTGTAGGTGTAGCCGGAGAGGAAGATGGCCCAGCATGTCATCCTGGGTGACATGTAGGGTGGCGTTGGCTTGTCCCCGGCGAGCAGTCCAAGTAGAGTCTTGTGATCGGTGACAATTGTAAACGACCTTCCATACAGGTATTCATGGAAACGTTTAATGCCGGCTACGATGGCGAGGGCTTCCTTATCGAGCTGGCTGTAGTTCCGCTCCGCTGATGACATGGTTTTGGAGAAGTAAGCAATGGGGGCTTCGGTGCCGCTGGGCAGCTGGTGGCTGAGGACAGCTCCGACTCCATACGGTGAGGCGTCACAGGTCAGAATTAGTGGGAGTGACTCATGGTATTGGATGAGGACGCTGTCGGAGGAGAGAAGACTTTTGATTTTCTGGAATGCTGCCTCTTCTTCCTCTTCCCACTTCCAGGGTACTGCCTTCCCTAGAAGGCGGTGGAGCGGTTCAGCAACGGTGGCTTTCTGGTTCAGAAAAACACTATAAAAATTCAGCAGACCCAGAAAAGCCTGAAGCTCCGTTTTTGATTTGGGGGCTGGAGCCTCATGTATAGCCCTGACCTTGCTTTTGGTGGGGTGGATGCCCTTGCTATCGATTAGATAGCCCAGGAACTCAACCTCCTGGACCCCAACAACACATTTGTCCCTTCTAACTCTTAGGCCCTTCGCCTGGAACCGCTGTAGGGCAAGCTTGAGCCGTTCCATCAGTTGGGCTTCCGAGTTTCCAGAGATTAGTACGTCGTCGAAGTAAGGTACCACCCCAGGAATGCCTTGGAGAAGGCGTTCCATCATTGATTGAAAAATTCCCGGGGCGGCGCTGACTCCAAATTGGAGATGGTTGCACTTAAAAGCCCCCCTGTGTGTGACGATTGTTTGTGCCTCCGCAGTCCTTTCGTCTACTGGCAATTGTTGGTAAGCCTGGGCCAGGTCCAGTTTCGCTAAAATGGTCCCGCTGCCAAGCGAATGCAACAGATGTTGCACCACTGGCACGGGATATGCACTCTGCGGCAATGCTCGGTTGATGGTTCACTTATAGATGGCGCAGATGCGCACAGATCCATCATGCTTCATGGGAGTCACAATGGGGGTCTCCCATGCCGCATGATCAATCGGTTCCAGAATGCCCTGGGCAATTAGTTTATCTAGCTGGGCATCCACCTTAGGCCTGAGGGCAAATGGAACTCTGCGGGGCTTGAGCCGAATGGGTACAATTTTGGGGTCTAAATTGAAAGAAATGGGTTTCCCCAGAAATTTACCTAGGCTCCCATCGAAGACGTCCTTGAAGTCCTCTAAGAGCGCTAGCCTGAATTTTGTTGATTCTGCCAATCGTGAGCCCTAGGGGCTTGAACCACTCCATGCCTAGTAGGGTTGGACGGGCTTCCTTGATGACGGCGATGGGGAGGCGTCCTTCGAAGTCCTTGAACTTCACCCAGATGTTGGTCTGTCCCAGGATGCCGATGGAGTGCCCTCCGAAATCCACCAACCTCGCTTGGAATGGCTCTAGCTGTTTCCTGGATAGCCGCAGTTGAAGTCTTTTTAGCTGGTCCCAGGCTATGATGGAGTACGGTGAGCCTGAGTCTATTTCCATGGGGCATGGGTCCCTTCCACATAGACGGTCACGTGGAACTTGTCGGACTCCTCTGCTGCAGCGTGTGCAATTGTTGTCTGGTGGATCCCTCTGCTCTTGGGGTGGCCGTCACTGTCTCGCCGCGGGTACTGGGACCATTTGGATGTCCTCTGGTATTCATGGTCCGTGGGTCTGGGAGGCTCAAAACTTGGCTCTGCCGCCCTGCAGGCTTCCGCAATGTGGCCCTTCCTCTGGCAGCATCTGCAAGTTGCATCCCGCCAGCGACATCTGGCGCGTGGATGGTCCCCTTTGCAGCTGGCACAACGTTCCTCCCGTCCGCCATCTTGGGGTTTTTCCCGTCGTTGGGGTCTTGTGACCTTATGGACGGCCATCTCAGAGTCAGAGTCCGACCCCGTGGAGGTCTCATCCAATGATGGCTGTGGGTTCCTGCGGACCTTGTGGATCCCCTTGGATCTTCTCATTGCGGCTGCTGCCCTATCGGAGGACTCGGCGGCTGTGGCTTTCTCTGTGACCTCTTTTAGGGACACTTTCTTTCGGCTGAGGAGCTTTTTCTGGACTGTGCTGTCCCTCATGCCGAAGACGATGCGGTCCCGCAGCTGAATGTCCACGTTTTCAAATTCGCAGCTGGCCGTGATCTTCCAGAGCGCTGAAACGAATTCCTTGACTGATTCTCCTTCTGCTTGATTTCTCTGGTGGAAGTCGAATCGGTTGGCCAGAGGCGTGCTTACTGGGGCGTAATGGTCCTGGAGCACTTCCTGCAGCTCGGACCATGGCATCTGCTCGATATCCAGCAGTGCCACGAGGTCCATGGCCATTTCCAGGACCTCCGAACCGCAGTGTGCCAGGAAGAAAGCCCTCTTTCTGCTGTCATCTAGGTCTGTGAAGCCGCTTCCCGCCAGGAACTGCCTGAAGCGAGCCATGAAGGACTTCCATTTCTCAGTGCTCAGGTTGAATGGAGCCATTGAGATTTGTGGTCCAGACATGGTAGTGACTTAGCTCGTGCTTCAGCTCTTTGCTTAAGGTGGCAGTTGGCTTGCAGCTCTTCGTCGGTTCTTCTCTAGTCCTTCATCGCCAGTGTTAGATCGGCGCTGGAAAGAAACGCGATTCAGCCCTGGTCTGTTCAGCACTTTATTAGAATGGTGAAAAACAGACTGCCGGCAGTGGCTCCCGAGCCTCCTTATATTCTGCTCGGGCCAGCCAGCCGGCCAATGACAGCTGTTCAAACTTCCCGCCAGTGGAAGTGACCAATCCCCCGGCGGATGTCCTTATAAGGACATAACACAAACAAAGTCTTTTTACAAGTTGTGTGCAGAGAAGAGATGCATTTTCACTCAAACAGAATGTCCATCAATGCTCCAAGAGAAAGAAAGGGAGGGGGTCAGGCATCTATCATCCTTTTACTGTTCTATTCCCCAGGCGTCTGGCTCCAGTGGGAACAGGCAGATAAACTCTAGCAAACAGGTTTTCATGCAGATTATATTTATTTGGGAATCCTTGAACACATAAGACTTACAATCAGTGAGTCCAGGTGAGGTGCATCCATATTTCATAATCTGTCCCATTTCCTAGTGTAAAAGGATGGAAGTTTGTCCCCCTGTTCAGAAAGCATGTTCTCTCTTCTGAGGTAATTCAACATATGGCCAGGTCTTTGTTCTAAAAACCCCGGCAGAGAGCCTCAGGGACCAATCAGACACACAGATAAGGTCACATGTCATGGACTACATTTCTCATAATGCAATATCTCACTAAATCTCCCACAATGCAATCTCTTAAAGAGACAGCTCTTAATCTTTAAATCTTAAGATAACTAACTCACCACAACTCACAGACAGTAACAGCACAATGAGGCTTGGTACCATTTAATGCTGTAAACCACCCAGAATCATTTCATTACAAGATGTTTAGCAATAAATTTAATAAGTAAGCAAACAAGCAAGTAAGCAAACAAATAAATAAATGTCTCTTCTCAGGAAAGATCTCTCCTTCATGCCCTTCACCACCATGTGCATCAAGGAGAGCCTGCGCCTGCACCCTCCAGTCACAGTCATATCTCGACGCTGCACTGAAGATGTGAACCTTCCTGATGGACGAGTTATCCCTAAAGGTATGTGCTATGGAAGGACTCCCATGCCATCCTTTGTTAATTATCTGTATCTGGCATTTAGATTCTCTTCTTCCCTCTATGACTTTATTCCAGTGGTGAAATCTAAAAATTTTCCCTACCAGTTCTGTGGGCGTGGCTTGTTGGTCATGCGATTGGGTGGTCATGGCCAACTCAATGTCACTCACGTCAAGGGGTGCCTCGCCTGGCCCCTCCCCTCCCAGCTATTCCTTGTCACACCCAGCCTCAACATACCTATAGTGCTGTAAAAATGTTGTTCACCTTTTTTCAACTTTATTATCTACATACTATAAATGTACTTTCATGGACCACTGAAAGGAGGAAATGGCTCACATGCTTTGCCCAAGAATGTGAAAGGCAACAGGCTTTTAAGGGCTGCCAGAAAGAAGGGGGGGCTATGTATTTTCCAAAGCACCAGAAGGCAAAACAAGAAGTAATGGATGGAAACTGAACAAAGAGAGAAGCAACCTAAACTAAGGAGAAACTTCCTGACAGTGAGAACAATTAACCAGTAGAATCAGCTGAGCTAATAAACAACAGAATATAGGAGAGGTGAGAGGAGGGAGAGGGCAGGTGGGCAGAGCCAATCAAAATTATCTTTACTTGTTCTCCGAACCAGTCAAAGTTTTCCCTACCCAGACAGCAGAACCAGTCTGAACTGGTAGCATTTCACCCCTGCTTTATTCCCTGCCTGCATTAGCAGTTGTTCCAGGCTACTATGCTATCATATTTTGGGCTCCATGAGGATTAAACTTGTTATAAAGTAAACAAAGTGCAAAGTATATTGAATAAGAAAAAGATCCCAGTTTGGGATCTTTTATACTGTATTGAGAGTGTGTATTAGAGTTTCTTTTACAGTATGTATCTGATGTAAGCTGAATGAGACTGTTTTCCTTTCTCAAATGCTGCAATTGCCATTTCTAATCTAATAAATCTATACTTAACAAGAATTATATCACGCCAAAATAATAAAAAAGAATTCAATTATTATGGGTCTTACAGCAATAGATATTATGCTCCACATTTTGTTCAGGCTACTATGTCTCATTTTTCTTGAAAATTTGTATGCTTGTTGTCCTTTCTTCCTGCTATTTTGTTTGTTGCTACTTGTAGGAGATAAAGTTTGCTTGGTATATCATGTCACATCTGTGGGAGAAAAACATGGGTCTTCCAAAGTCATGTAGTTTGTTTGTTTATTTATTGTTATTTTTGAACATGGCTTTTCACTACTCAGGAAACTTTATAGTCTTTTCAATGATAAGTACATCATTAGGGATTCTAGGGGTCCTTTTCAGAACTACAACTTTCTTCTGCATATAGCTATCAAAAAAGGGTGCCAATTACAGAGCTGATTCCAAAAACACTTTGACCTTTTTGCCACAAACTGTTCACAGTTTCACCTTAAATTGGGTTTGCATTGTGGCAAAATGATTAGGAGCTGTTTTTAAATGCTTGTATGCTGCATTTTCTGGAACAAAAGACAGTGGGGCTGTTCCTGTGGTTCTCTGAGGCCATCTGGCTTGATTTGCCTGGCTTGATGAAAAAAGTCCCAAGAGCAACTAGTTGTGTGTGTGTGGGGGGGGGGGGTGTTGGAGGGTAATGAAAGGACTCTACTGGGAAATGGAGAAACAATGAATGGCCATCATAGAAGATGGAGCAATGGACAGGGGTGAAAAAGCTGGGGGGATGAGAGTAACAGTCAGGCAATACATGCTGGTCCTCTTTATGGGGCAACTCTAGACTAGTAGCAGAGTCATAAACTGATTTTTGTTGGTTTATTATGTGTCATTAAGTTATTAAAGGAAGATCTCAGATCTTCTGAAAATCTGTAGCACTAACAAAGATATGAACATGCTTGAACATAAACACAAACCAACAGAATGTTGGCCTATTCTTTGCTCTATCTATTAACAACAGCAATTCATTTGCCAAGTTCCTTTGTCCGTTTCCTGCTTTTGTGAATCTTTCTACCTTTGGTGGCATCTAAAGTTCATTAGATTCTTCTCTCTGCAGGGAATGTCTGCCTGGTCAGTATCTTTGGGACCCATCACAATCCTGCTGTATGGCCAGACCCTGAGGTAGCATTTTCCCAATTTCTTTGTAATTTGTTTTCATCCATTTTGGTTCTACGTAGAATTCAGCCTGGGAGACTCCCTTCCTCTTGCAGATTGCCTGATAGAATTCTATTTTAGAGTTGGGGGGGGGGACGACGACTTAATCTTGTCATGATAATTGAATAGCTAAGTATAGTTATTTCTAAAGTTATATTCTGCTTTTTGTTCATTGAGGTATAAGAATCCAGCAAGAAGGTATGTACATATATATCTCTGAGGGAAATGGGCAGTTCAAAAATGTGAAAAACAAACAAATAAATAAAGTAGAATTTGAATATTCATTAAGAATATTCATACAATTTAAAAGCATAGATTAAATCTTGAAATATTAGTCAAAAATCACCTCTTCTGATGTGCACATTTTCTGCAGAAAACCTGGGCTTCTATATTTATTATATGAGTATAGTACAATAGATGATTTTCCATACATTACAGTATTCAATGGATCAGTCAAGAAGCAAAAGTCTGTGCATACAACATATATCTTTTACACTAACTATATAACAAAATATTGAGAATTACACTACATTATTGCACAGTAATTTTAAAAATTAGCTTCTTTCTCAATATGTATGTAAATTCATATTTCTTGCCCACTATTTTCATTAAGAAATGGAGTCTCAGGAAAAGGAGCAATGTCTATTTTATATGACAAAATGTGCAACACAGAGTTGATGGTTTTTCCTCCAACGAAGCAAAAAATGACTGAACTGTAGCACCTTAAAAACTCTTTGTTCAGTGTCATGTGCATTTTGATTGTTTTATTGATATTAATGTTTTTTCATTTACTGCTAATTTTTTAATGAGGGAAGATAGAAAGATTGTAATGTTACTTCCTGGCTGATTCTTCTCCCTTTGAGCTCTATAATTGAGACCACCTCACCGATAAAATTTTATTCCTCAGTTGCAGACATCTTTTTTCTTGGAATCCCACTCATTAAACTCCCTTGGAGCTTGGGAGCAGGGGTGGGGGTAATCTTCAGGACCTTGAGTCAATTTTGCATAAAAAGTTCTCTTTTGTCAGATGTAAGATGATTACTGGCATATAAGGTTTCATTTGAGGGAGCCTTGCTTGTCAGGGTAAATGTCTAACAATCCATCAGTCATAAACCCACAGCCCTGCAAGGGTTAACTGACCACACTACCCATCATCCTCATAACCACACCTTACCTTCCGGCTCCTCCCCCTGTGTATAAGAGCTCCCACCACGTGGAGAACCAGCAGTTCCAGAAACATACCTGCAAGAGATAGGCAATAGTCAGTGACTATCAATTGAATGGACCTGGGAACAATCCAGGCCTACAATAAAGAATTAAAGGAAGATATACCTGTGTCCAGTGAATCATTGGGTTAGATCCATCACTCTTATCATTGCTCCCTCAAATCTATGACTTGTGCAATAGGCACTGTTTTGCCCGTAAGGCCAAGCAGGGATCAATAAATGCATTTTTGCTACCTGTTTGAAATTGCAAAGAGAAGGTAATGTCAAGCATCTATTAGTCTTTAAAGTGTGGCAGAAAGCAGACAAGTTATTCTACAGACATATATCCATCTGCCCATAAAACAGTCTCTGCAAGTTTCCTGGGACAGAATGTTTTCAAAACTAAAGCAAGACAAGAATCATCTCTGTAGTTCTATCATTTTCATAATCATCTCCAAAGAGTAGTCCTCAATGAAACTACATCTATCTGGAGGGAAGCATATATAGGTTCTGTCTTGGATCCAGGGTCTTCAACATCTTCATAAATGATCTAGATGAGGAGATAGAAGGGAATTCATGAAATCTGCAGATGACACCAAGTTTGGGGGTGGTGGGATTGCTAATAGTTTGGAAGATAATATTGAAAAGAATCTTGACAGACTTGAGCATTGGGCTCTATCCAACAAGATGCAGTGAGAAAATTAAGGTTTTGCACTTAGTCAGGAAAAAACCAAATGCACAAGTATAGAGAAGGCAGTGCCTGGCTCAAAAGTAGCAACTGAGGGGGATCTAGGTGTCTGAGTGGATCACCAGTTAAGCATGAGGCAGCAATGTGCTGCACCTGCCAAAAAAGCCAATGCAGTCCTAGGCTGCATCAATAGAGGTATAACATCAAGATCACAAGAAGTGATAATACCATTTTATATTGCTCTAGTGAGGCCACACTTGGGGTACTGCATCCAATTCTGGTCACCACGATACAAAAAGATGCTGGGACCCTAGAAAGTATGTAGAGCAACAAAAATGATAAGAGGTCTGGAAACTAAACTGTAGAATGAATGGTTAAGGGAGCTAGGTATGCCTAACCTATAAAAGATTAAGGATGAATGATAGCTGTTTTTCAGTACTTGAGGGGCTGTCACAGAGAAGAGGGCAGTGGTGAAATGTAAAATTTGTTACTATGGGTTCTGTGGGTGTGGCTTGGTGGGGGGTAATGTGACTAGGTGGGCGTGGCCAATTTTTTTTTTTTACTGTTAAAAGCATTTTTTCTACAACCACTTCAGCCGAAGAGATTGTTTTAAAAATGCTTTTAAAAGGCTCTGACGATCCCAGCTGAGTTGCCTGATCATCAGAGGCTTTTAAAAGCAATTTTTTTACAACCTCTTCTGCTGAAGAGGCTGTAGAAAAAAATGCTTTTAAAAGCCTCTGACGATCCCAGCTGAGTTGCATGGTTTTAAAATGATGATCATCAAGCATTTTTTCTGCCGAAGAGGTTGTAGAAAAAATGCTTTTAAAAGTAAAAAAAAAAAAGCCTCCGATGATCACGCGGCTCAGCTGGACATGGAGGGGGGGGGCGCAGGGATTTTTGCTACCAGTTCTCCGAACCACCTGCTGGATTGCTACCGGATCGGGTGATCCGGTCCAAACCGGGAGCATTTCACCCCTGGAAGAGGGGGTTGACTTATTCTCAAAAGCACATGAAGGAAAGATAAGAAACAATGGATTGAAGCTATTTAAAGAGAGATCCAACCTAGAACTAAAGAGAAATTTTCTCACAGTGAAAATAATTACTGGTTAATTAAAAATTGATTAACTTGCCTTCCAGAGTTGTGGGTGCTCCATCACTGGAGGTAGTCAAGACAGGACAACCATTTGTCCAGGATGGTATAAGACCTCCAAGTTCCTTTCCAACCCTGTGATTCTATGATATAAGTTTCAGAGAGTCATGTGCTGGACTTCCTATTTATGTCAGAATCTTTTACTAGCCCACATTCTCAGATCATCAGTTGGCAAGCTGATCTTCCAGGTCCTCACTGCCTGATGAGTACTCATAGGAATGCCAACTCCTGTTCCAATGTGAACAAATAATAATAATAATAATAATAATAATAATAATAATAATAATAATAATTTTATTTCTATACCGCCCTTCTCCCGAAGGACTCAGGGCGGGGTACAGCCAATTTAAAAACACAAGACACAACAATGATTAAAAATTAAAATAATTAAATAGATTTGGCTGATTTAAAACCCCAAAAATTTAAAATACTACAATTTAAAATTATTATGTTGCTAGCCCTGCCTGGCGGAACAACAGGGTCTTCAGTGCGCAGCGAAACACCCGGAGGTCGGAGATCTTACGTATTTCCGGGGGCAGTTCATTCCACAGGGCTGGGGCTCCCACAGAGAAGGCCCTCCCCCTGGGTGTCACCAGCCGACATAACTTGGCTGATGGCACCCTGAGGAGACCCTCTCTGTGGGAATGGACTGGTCGGTGGGAGGCTATTGGTGGCAGAAGACGGTCTCGAAGGTACCCAGGTCCTATGCCATGGAGCGCTTTAAAGGTAGTAACCAACACCTTGAATCGCACCCGGAAGACCACAGAGAGCCAGTGCAGCTCGCACAGGAGGGGTGTCACGCGGGCACAACGAGTTGCGCCCATAACCACCCGCGCGGCCATATTCTGGACCAGTTGGAGCCTCCGAGTGCTCTTCAAGGGGAGCCCAATGTAGAGAGCATTACAATAGTCCAGCTGGGAGGTGACAAGGGCATGAGTGACCGTGCGCAAGGCGTCCAGACATATTGTTTGGATAATATGGCATGTGACAAATGAAACACTTGGTGTCAATTAATCAGTTCTTTCTTATGTTCACATCTTCTCATTCAACTCATTCATCCAATCTATTTATCTTTCAAAGGTCTATAACCCATATCGCTTTGATTCAATGCATCATCCACTAGCTTTTGTGCCCTTTTCTGCAGGACCCAGGTAAGCAAACATACAGCTAGAGACAAAATAATTGTTAAGAAAAAGAAGAGAAGGGTGTTGGAGAATATCCATGTGACATTCTTAATGGGGGCTCTTGGGGCAAGGAACATGAAACAATACATGCTGGTCACTAATCGAAAAAAAAAGCCTTCATGAAGCTAGATTTGTCCAATGAGCTTCATAAAAAGAGAAGTGTTGTAAAAAAAGTCAGCCATTTAGCCACTGAGCTAGAATCTTTCTTCTCTACAGGAACTGCATTGGGCAGAACTTTGCCATGGCAGAGATGAAGGTGGCCCTGGCCCTGACACTGTTGAGGTTTGTGGTGCGATTGGATGAGAGCCAATCTGTACGGCGCAAACCAGAGCTAATCCTGCGGGCGGAGAATGGTCTGTGGTTGCAAGTGGAACCAATCTGTGCTGAATCTTGATCAGAAGTTCAATATACAAGATTACATTTGCTGATCTACAATCTGGAATCTATATTGTAATGTGCCAAGAGGAATTGTGACCAGAGATGCCTTTTGCTTCTAGCTTTATAGAAGGCAGGATAGATTGTTATTTTGCATACATCTTTCCACCACTGTGTCTATGTCTCCTAGTCTACTAATTGCTGCTTAGCCCTAGTTTATTGTTTTGCTACCATGAAGATCTCCAAGAGATATTCTAAATTAAAGCCATATGAAATGAATTTTTGTCCTGGTTTTAAATATTTAGGTAATGGCATTCCTATAGGATCAAGCTTCAAGATTTTCAAAAAAAAGATTGGACAGACATTTAGAATTGTCTGAGATGCAATATGGTTTCCTGCCTTGGGCAGGAGTTGGACTTGGAAGATCTCCAAGGTCCCTTCCAGCCCTATGATTCTATAATTCTAAGATAGTCAATGACAGCTGTCTGCAAAACTGTAGCCCAAGATTTTCAGCGCAAGAACTAATGCATTCTGAATATTCCAAATATCACATTGGTTGGCTTTCCATGCTGCTCTTTTATGTACTTTTATAATCATTCTATTCCTTCCAAGGGGAATTTCTAACCCTTTCTAATGAAAGCAATTTCCATTTGGGAAAATCTTCTTCACTGTAAGGAAAGTAGAAGAAGGATTAAGTACAATATGTTCACTATCTTGAGTTATTGTAAAAATAATAAAGGTGGGATACAAATATATAAACAATTAAACAAATATAAGGATTCATTCAGGTGTGATAAGATAATCCTATTTTAGCCTAGTTTAATTCATATTATATTCATGGATTGATAACCCATTTTTATTCATTTTTTAAAAAATTTAGCGAGAGGTCCTTAAACTTTTTAAACGGGCCAATTCACAGTCCTTCAGACTGTTGGGGGGACGGACTGGCTTGGTGGGCATGGCTATGTGGTCATGTGACCAGCTGGGTGTGGCTGGGTGGCCATGTGGCTGGGTGGCGTGGCCAATTTAGCAGTCCATTTTGCCTTTGTCCTTCCTAAGCTGTACTTGCTCAACCCAAGGAATCTATTTACTTAATAAGACCACCCCCCAAAGGGAAAAAGAGCACAAACTTTCTTGCCATTTGCCTGTTAGGCAAGTGCAGGGGTGAAATGTTCCCAGTTCGGACTGGCTCGGGCGAGTAGGTAGCGATGGCAGCGGGCAGTTCGGAGAACCGGTAGCAAAAATCCCTGCCCCCGCCCCATGCCCAGCTGAGCCACGCGATCATCAGAGCCTTTTTTTTCTTTTAAATGGCTCTGACCAGCCAAGCTCTGACCAGCCACGCTCTGACGATCTCAGCTGAGTTGCCTGTTAATCGGTAGCAAAAATCCCTCCCCCCCCCCTCAGCTTGCTTACCTTAGCTGCTGGTCGCAACACCTTGCTGTAATCCCTGCAATCCATTGCATCAGCAAGCAACTGAATCTCCCTGCCTGCAATCAAGCAGGCAGGGAGTTGTGGACTTCAACTCCCAGAATTCCTCAGCCAGCAAAGCAAAGCTGGCTGAGGAATTCTGGGAGTTGAAGTCTACAAGTCTTAAAGTTGCCAAGGTTGGAGACCCCTGTTCTATTGGGTAAGTTTTTCCCCCCTTTGGGAGCTTTAAAAAAAATAGTTAATTGGGGGTTTTTTAGTTGTTCTTTTTTTAGATCTAGCCTTTTAAAGTTTAGGAAGTTTTAAATTTAGCTGCTTTTATATAAAAATAAAAATAAATAAAAATAAAATATTTCTGCAGCTTTCTGAGATTTAGTGTGTTTCTGTAGTGTTTCACTCTAACTACACAAACACACAAAATCTCACAAAGCTGTATGTGGAATTTTGTGTGTGTAAAGTGTGAAAGTTGGTTTTTTGGGCTTTTTGTGGCTCTGTGAGGTTCCTGCTTGTTGCAGGGGCCATTTTGGGTCTAGCACAGCTGCTTTTATATTGTGGGTGAGCCAGTTGTGTTGTGTTGTGTTTTGTAGGTTAGAAAAGGGCAAAGAAGTGACATTGACTTGGCCACGCCCACCTGACCAACAAGCCACACCCTCCCAGTCACCTTACCACCAAGCCCCGCCCATTAATTAAGCCACGCCCACAGAACTGGTAGCAAAAACATTTAGATTTCACCCCTGGGCAAGTGGTAAGAAAGTTTGCTCTCTTTTTCCCTTGGGGGTGGGGGGTCTTATTAAGTAAATAGATAACTTCATTACAACAGCAGTTTCAAGCTCCTTAAAATAGGCCGTTAAAAAAAAAGAATAAAACAAAATTTCCTTCAAAATAACTCCTGATCATATGTTTCAGATGATCAGACAATAAGCCAGACTGAGAACTGCACCAATTAAGACTGTAACTAAAACCCCCAAGATGGGCATTGAGAGACATTGGAAGCAGGCAGAAGAAGGTGAGAATCAACTCAACCTCCCCCAACCTCCAATGGTGCATTGACAACGGTTCCTCAGACTGTTGGGGGCCGGACTATAGTTTGAAAAAACATGAACAAATTCCTATGAACACTGCACATTTATTTGTAGTGCAAAAAGCATGAAATAATACAATATTTAAAAAGAAGAACAATTTTAACTAACATAAATACAGTCGGGCAAAAAAGTATTTAGTCAGCCACCAATTGTGCAAGTTCTCCCACTTAAAAAGATGAGAGAGGCCTGTAATTGACATCATAAGTAGACCTCAACTATGAGAGACAGAATGAGAAAACAAATCCAGACAATCACATTGTCTGATTTGGAAAGAATTTATTTGCAAATTATGGTGGAAAATAAGTATTTGGTCAATATCAAAAGTTCTTCTCAATACTTTGTTATATATCCTTTGTTGGCAATGACAGGGGTCAAATGTTTTCTGTAAGTCTTCACAAGGTTGGCACACACTGTTGCTGGTATGTTGGCCCATTCCTCCATGCAGATCTCCTCTAGAGCAGTGATGTTTTGGGGCTGTCGCTGGGCAACACGGACTTTCAACTCCCTCCAAAGATTTTCTATGGGGTTGAGATCTGGAGACTGGCTAGGCCACTCCAGGACCTTTAAATGCTTCTTACGAAGCCACTCCTTCATTGCCCAGGCAGTGTGTTTGGGATCATTGTCATGCTGAAAGATCCAGCCACGTTTCATCTTCAATGTCCTTGCTGATGGAAAGAGGTTTGCACTCAATATCTCACAATACATGGCCCCATTCATTTTTTCCTGTACACGGATCAGTTGTCCTGGTCCCTTTGCAGAGAAACAGCCCCAAAGCATGATGTTGCCACCCCCATGCTTCACAGTAGGTATGGTGTTCTTTGGATGCAACTCAGCATTCTCTCTCCTCCAAACACGACGACTTGTGTTTCTACCAAACAGTTCTACTTTGGTTTCATCTGACCATATGACATTCTCCCAATCCTCTTCTGGATCATCCAAATGCTCTCTAGCAAACTTCAGATGGGCCCGGACATGTATTGGCTTAAGCAGGGGGACACGTCTGGCACTGCAGGATCTGAGTCCCTGGAGGCGTAGTCAGTGGTGGGATTCTGCTGGTTCTAGGCAGTTCGGCTGAACCGTTAGTTAAATTGCTGGCTTGCCCTACCCCTTGCCCCGCCCCTCCGCACCACTGGGCGAGGGGTGGGTGAGCCAGCAATTTAACAAACGGTTCGGTGTTTTTTAATAATTTTATTGGCCTCGCAGCTGCCGCGGAGCTTCAAAGGGCTGCCCTACAGCTGATCAGTGTTAAAAGAAAACAAATGAGTAGACCTACGCCTGCAAAAATAAATGGGTAAACCCAGTGGTGGGATTCTACTTCGGTAGAACCGGTTGTTAAGTAGTTAAGTGGGGGGCGGTGGAATGCCTTAGGGGGCGGTAAGAGGCAAGGGGGGCAGCAGGGCAGGCTAAATGGCAAGGAGGGTGGCCCCCACCCTTTGGCCTGTGCCTCGCAGCACTTACCTCCTTGCAAACGAACAGCAAGAAAAAACAGTCCCTTCAGCTTCAGCATCGGTTAATTAGCACAAGTTGATTAGATCAGCCTCCCGACTCTCAGCTGATTTGCTCTCAGTGGTTTTGCCAGGGCTCTGTTGCTATCTGCAAAGAGTGCTGGAGCAGATTTCCCCCCCTAGCCTAGCTATGCTGAAAAAGCGAAACTGAAAGTAAAGCAGGGTCTTTGCTGCAACGTGACAAAATGAGGCAAAGAGAGATTTCTTTTTCTTTTTCTTCACCAAAAAAGGTAGGTACAAAACTGCAAACAATGGGAAATTTAGGGCAAAAGAGGAGAATTCAAGATTTTAAAACACAAAAGAAAAAAGGCTCTATTTATTTATTTATTTATTTATTTATTTTATTTTATTTTATTTTATTTAAATTTGTACACCGCCCTTCTCCTAGTGGACTCAGGGCGGTGCACAGCCAAGTAAAAAACATCCAGTACAAAATTTAAAAATTTAAAAGAATTATACCCTTTGGCCAAAAATTTAAGAACTTTGCGACTAAAACCCATTAAACAATTAAAAATCTAATATCTCAAAAATGGGGGGGGGGTGTTTCACGCCAGCCCTGCTTGATGGAAGAGAAAAGTTTTTAGGGCATGGTGAAAAGCCCGGAGATCTGATATCCTCCGTATCTCCGGGGGCAAATTGTTCCAGAGGGCAGGTGCTGCCACAGAGAAGGCCCTCCCCCTTGGGGTCGCCAGCCGACACTGCTGATGGCACCCTGAGGAGTCCCTCTCTGTGGGAGCGTACTGGCCGGTGGGAGGCTATTGGTGGCAGAAGGCGGTCCCGCAAATACCCAGGTCCGATGCCATGGAGCGCTTTAAAGGTGGTAACCAGTACCTTGAAGCGCACCCGGAAGTCCACTGGGAGCCAATGCAGCTCATGCAGGAGAGGTGTCACATGGGAGCGCCCTCTCGCTCCCATAATCCCCCGCGCAGCCACATTCTGCACCAGCTGGAGTCTCCGGGTGCACCTCAAGGGGAGCCCCATGTAGAGAGCATTGTAGTAGTCCAGGCGGGAAGTGACGAGTGCCTGAGTGACTGTGCATAAGGAGTCCCGATTCAGAAAGGGACGCAACTGGCGAATCAGGCGAACCTGATGAAAAGCCCCCCTGGCCACGGCCGTCATATGCTCTTCTAAAGACAGCCGTGCATCCAGGAGGACACCCAAGTTGCGAGCCCTCTCCATGGGGTCCAATAACTCGCCCCCAATAGCCAGCGATGGTGCCAGCTGGCTATATCAGGACGCCGGAAGCCACAGCCACTCGGTCTTGGAG